CGAATGAACAACTAAATCAAAGGATGTGCTGTTGGCGGCTACTATGCATTCATGGGCAACATGCAGCCTCCTGCGTCCGTTTGTACTAACACCAGAACGGAGAGAAGCTTTAAAAATGCTACTAAAAACTATAAGAATTATTTTTCTACTAGTTTAAAGGTCTCGAGATTTACAACTGAAGCAGAAATGATAATTCCCTTGGAGGATTCCGAGGCGTCCGTAGTATATGCTGACAGGGGCAGCATGTGCGAGTCTAGATTATAGATGCTCAATTTTAACGCAATCAGAGACTCCTCGTCACCATACGCAAGTCCAATTGTACTATTACAAAAGAAAACAGGCGAGAAGGAGCAATGCCTAGAATATAGAGCTATCAATAGGAAAACAAGGTGCGAACACTACCTTTTGCCCAAGATTAACGACCTGTTAGATACCTTAGCTGGCATGTGTCTGTTCATTACACTTGATTGGGCCTCTGATTGTTACCAAATACCAAATGCCTCGGAATTGCATTCGTTACACCAGACGCTCAGTCTGAGTACAAAAGACTGCTCTGCGGACTCGTATATGCACCGTCGGTATTTTACGACTATGAACAAAATATTACAGAAACCTTGTGTTGAATTAAGCGCTATAATATATGAACGATACTCTTATTCCAGCCTCCTCCTTCGAGAAGGATATGATGGGATTAAAAAAGGTCAGCCGGTCATTAAAAAAAGGTACTCTAACTATTAAGATAAGCATGGTTCTTACTTCTTAGTATTTGAAAGCGAAATTCAATATAGGCTCAGCGAAAGGCTGTCACACGTTGACTTGAGCAGAGGCCCTATACTATATGATAGATATTCTATCCATAAGTTCCAAAGGTTGGCTAACGGCAATCCAGCAAACTGGCTCTGAAATCAGACATATCGCTGAAAATTTCAGGAATCAAACGCACCCAGAAATTGAAGCTGCAACCAGAACAAAAATTACAAGCTGATCGACGGAAAAGTGTTTCGAGTCGGCAGAGACACTCAGCGTTGGGTTGATCTGAACGTTGTACATTGTCAAAACGCAACCATGATGTGAGACATTGTTGGATTTTATAAAAGACTGAATCAAAGTCGTTCTCTATATTGGTCTCCCAAGATGCTGCGTTTCGTCGAAAAGTACGTAGAGGCATGTTAGAATGGGCGCATCATGAATTACCAAGCGCTGCTAAGGAGGGCAGAGCTACTCCCAATCCCCAAGGTGACTTTTAGATTTCATTCCATTTACGCTGACACCCTAGGTCCATTCATCATGAGCAAACGTGGAAACCCTTAATAATCGACGCTTGTCTGAGGAACGTTAATCTTAACTGCGGTTCGCAACACAAAAGCATCATTTAGCATAAAAGTTCTAAAAGAAAAATTATATCATTCGAGGCATTCATAAAGTCGACAAGAAATACACTCGTATAATGCAGTAGCCACCCTTTTGCTAATGGACAAGTTGAGCGATACAACAGCACCATCCTCTAACCACTAGGTATCATGAATCATGTGAAATCAAATGGCTTATGCCACGAACGTCTACCTAATGTACAGTTACGTATCAATACATACAAGCACGTACTAAGAAAACTCCGGCTGGACTGTTATTGGGACGGGGCCTAGTAAACCTCTCTCAAGGACTGCTAAATGAAATCACCACAAAAGGAACATCGTGCGGAAAAATAAACGATGCTACGATACTACAAAAAACTGGTTGCTTAATAGAGGAACAACGAAAAAAGAGATAAATGTTTGAGAAACGAAGAAAAGTGGAAGCAACTTTGAGGATGACTTGATTATAGTCATTAGAGCATAAACAGGAATAGCAGGACAATAAGAAATTAGAAAATAAATTACTAAACGTCCCTCTAGAATCAAGAAAATTTATCCACATGTCAGATACAGGTACATCCATCACAAGAAGAGGGAAACTGTATGACTCTATTGTAGCATTGGACAATTTATTCTCATGGCTCGGTTTCAACGGTCCAGAGTCTGAGAATGACGATAGAGACTCATGTATCGATGAAAATGAAGACATTAAAACATGAATGAACAAGTCATATTTGTTCAAAATGATGTTGGTTGATAAAAGTTAGTTTCAATGTTGAAAAGTCATTAGTCAACGTCACGGGTTCATGTATTAGGTCAAGTTGTCAGTCGATGTCATGGACTACCATAATTTATGTTAGGCCGTTAGCCAATGTCATTGACTCGTGGTATATATCAGCGTGATTTGATAAGTAAATCATTAGTCAGAGTCCTGCACTAATGTAGTAGAATAGATCGTTAGTCAAGGTCACTGATTAGCGATATAGGTTAAGCACATCAGTCAAGGTCATCGATAGATGTGATAGATCAATCCGATGGTCAACGTCATAGATCAGCGTTATTGGGTAAGTAAGTCATTCGTCAGTGTCCTGCATTAATGTAGCATATTAGATCGTTAGACAAGGTCACCGACTAGCGACATAGGTTAAGGACATCGGCCAAGGTCATTGACTGCTGTTGTAGGTCAATCCAATCGTCAACATCATGGATCAGCTTGATTGGATAAATAAGTCAATAGTCAGTGTCATGGACTAATGTAGTAGGTTAGATCGTTAGTCAAAGCCACCGACATGCGATATAGGCTAAGGACGTAAGTCAACGTCATGGACTGATGTTTTGGATAAAGACACTATCCAACAACGCTTTATAGAAATTACGGAATATTTTGGTTTTAGCTTGGAGAATATTTTTTTTATCTATCTAAACTCATTGATGTTTATTGTGTTGTTCATATAATACGCCAAATCTTAATAGTCATGTCATCAATCCTGTATATCGAGTGTAACCTCTCACCTCTTGCTGTTACTTTGTATGCCTTGATTGTATACTAAAACAAGAGGACTGGTTTATCGAAGGACGGTCGAGCTGTTAATAGCATCTTAGACTAAGTCTTGCTCAAATACTAAAGTTCACCAACCATTCAGAACAGTTGTCGTAAAGATGAATGTTGTTATCACTGGGGCATTCCGTCATAAATATTTATCATCGAATATGATATAAAAGAATAATTGTGAAGACTCATCAATAAATACGTTGTATTGGAAGACAGGTCTCAAAGCAACACATTGCTGAAGCGCTCTACATTTTCATGCGGCGCATATCGGATGCCAGATTCGAGAACACCCTACCTGGCCGTACTTTTCGACATTTTCACGTAATGATGCGGAATAAATTTAGACTAGGTGGTAGGATCCAGTCAATGATTTGTCTGTCTCCTTATTCTCACACTCTGTAGTAAGCATTAAAGTTTACTTAACATAAGTCAATGTTTTAACATTTCCCACATAAGATTCTTAGTTTTAGTGTTATTATATATACAAGCGGGTATTTGCAAATAATTGTGGTGCTAGACGATTTCAAGACGTACCCATTTTTACATAATTTGCAGAGAGCAGCACAAGCCTTTGGTAGGCATTGGTGGACAATTGAGTCAAATGTATGCACTAAAACTACTTAACAAAGGATGAAATGTAAAAATATAGGCTTGTCTCCTTCTAATCTACTCGAATTCGTTGGTGCTGTCAGATTGCCGGATTATTGAAATCCTTCTTAATGTAATGTAAGGGATGTAAGCTGCCGCGATACGAGCAATTTCTTTAGTCAGATCTGAAGGGTTGCTACGTAAAAGAGATTCTTTTCTTATCTCTCATTTTTCAGATTCAGCAAACTTGCATTTGTAATTTCCAGGACGAGTAAAAAAGTATATTTGCAACTAATTTTTAGCTTTGCATACATCTCAAGTAAGTGTTTGTGAGGAATTATCATCCATACAGGTTATTAGCACACAAATCCTCACTCTGCACCTATGCAGTGCCGTCTTCTTCCAGCTATAGTATACAACTCCCATATTAAACTTCCAATAATGCCATATTTGAAGTGGATGTTACATCACATCAGAGTCAAACCATGGTAGCTCAAGCGTCATGACGTTTAGACAACATGTACAGCTACAGAGCGAGTGCGCCTCAACTGAGCAACAGCTAGTTCTAAGTTAATATCTTGTAGAAAAACCTACATAATGTCACAAAAAACCTATACAGGGTTATCCAAATTAAGTGTCCACCATTGGTAACTTTGTTATTAGTAAAAATACAAATTTGTTTAAATTAGCAAACTAGTAGCATTTTTAACGCTGGTAAAAATGAGAAATAAAAAAAACAATTGAGAGTCGTTATTTTGATTTTTTTCAGTAAAATAACATTTTTTTAAATGGAAACCCCTGTATATTATATTTTTTTCTGTTAAAGCATCAAATTTTAAACAAAAAAGTTCATAATGACTTTTCCGCTAAAGTCAAAAATAAAGTCAAAATAACGATAAATATTTTTAATTATTTGCAGTATTATAATATTAAGACGGCTATGAAAACAACATGGCGTTCGCGATTTGGCAGCATTAAGATAAGCGACAAATTGTTAAACTGGACATACTCGCAACTAGAAGGCTTTGGAAAACAATGATAAATTCAAATAATGTCAAACATTAGTGTAAATACTTGTTTATAAGCTTTATTGTGTCATTAATTTAAAGAAAAATGTTCTCCCATGAAGAAAAGTGTGATATGTTAGAATGCTATTTAGTGTGCAGAAAATCCTCCTTGAGAGCAAGAGAATACTACAGTGAATTATATCCCGCTCGCATTCAACCGTATGAACGATATTTTCTGAGACTTTATCGAAAATTTAGGGGCAACGAAAATGTTTTTGCTAAAACAAGGGCAAAAAAAGAATTCATAATAAGCGAGGCCACGGAAATTGCAGTTATTGGATATTTTGAAGCTTATCGTGAGAATTCAATAGCAGATATTCTCAAGGACTCTAATTTCAGTTATGGTAGGGGAGAAGGGGGCAAGTTGTTACGAGGGCAAGTTGTTACATAATTATTTTAAAGCCCAGCAAGTACGACGGGTTGAATGAAAATGTACAAGAGATTGGCTCTGCCGACCCGCCATCTGTACACTAACAGTTATACTCATATGTAGCGTCCTTCATGGTGTTTTCGTGTATAATGTTGTTTCAGTTATAAAACTGTACGGTTGTCTGTTCGCTTTTGTTTCCGTTTGTGAAAAATTGGTAAGTAGTATAAATATATATATTATACTGTTCTGGAGCCTATATTTTTCTCTTTATTTGCATGCCGTTGTCTTTACCTGATTCACAATACTTACCAAAAAACATTGGCCTAACCTCATTTTGTTCATGCGGGGCAAGTTGTTACAATAATTTGGGGGCAGGTTGTTACTGTAACAACTTGCCCCATATATTTTAATACAAGTACTATAATTTTCTATTCCACTAAAATTTACACAATAAAGTTGTTTTTGTTGTTTTCAGGTTCTTGAACACGGTGCGAACGTACAAGAAGAAAACTGCAAGAGGTATTATTCCAATTGAACAATATGAAAGTGCCATGCAGGCCATATTACAAGAAAAATTATCAATTAGAGATGCTGCTACTCGCTACGGGGTTAATTTTATGACGTTACACCGCTATATGAAAAGAAAGTTAGCCCTAAACGTTGAAAACAGAAGCAAGTGCTTAGTTGGCTACGCTGCGCACAGAAAAATATTTAACGATGCCGAAGAACAGGAACTTGCGAAATACAAGTATTCCGCTAAAATTTATTACGGTCTTACAACTTCTGATTTGCGCAAACTTGCATTTCATTTTGCGATAGCAAACAACATATCTGTTCCAGAAAATTGGAAGGTGAAAGAAATAGCTTCCAAGGATAGGTTATATGGATTTCTGAAGAGGCATCAAACTTTATCTGTCAGAACACCCGAAGCTACTAGTATGGGCAGAGCCACTGTGTTTAATCGCCATAATGTGTCGCAGTTTTCCAATAATCTTGGCAAGGTTTATGATAAATATAAATTCCAGCTTCAAGATGTCTATAATATGGACGAGATTGGACTTACCACGGTCCAAAGGCCCACAAAAATCATAGCAAAAAGGGGAACTAAGCAGGTAGGCGCTATCACTTCTGGAGAAAGGGGTCAACTTGTTACCTTGGCATTAGCGGTTAACGCAAACGGCAATTTCGTACCTCCATTCATAATATTTCCACGGAAAAAATTCAAGGATGTTATGGTAGCAAATGGGCCTCCTGGTTGTGTAGGTGCATCCCATTCCTCTGGGTGGATGACATGTGAAAATTTTTTGTTGTTTATGAAACATTTTGTCCAATTTGTCCGCTGTAGCAAATGGTCTTAGATAATCATGAATCACATTTATCTATCCCTGTGTTGAACTTTTGCAAAGTTAATGGAGTTGTTCTTTTAAGTTTCCCGCCCCACACATCTCACAAGCTGCAGCCCCTTGATCCTTAATCCTTGATCCCTTGATCGTGTTTGGCCCACTTAAAAGATATTTCAATAGTGCTGCAGATGCATGGTTAAGATCTAATCCAGGTAAAGTAATGAACATCTATGATATACCTACCGTTCTAAGAGATTCATTTTCCCTTGCTGTTACGCATTTTAATATACAAAAAGGATTTAAGGTGACTTGAATTTGGCCTTTCAACAGAGAAATATTTCAAGATGATGAATTCTTACCCTCAGAAGTAACAGACAGGCCAAAGCCAGAAAATATTAACACAGCAATGGAAATAAGTCCTGAATCAGAATTTAATAGGGAAAACCAAAGAACCCCACAACCTTCTAAGAGTTAAGCTTGCAACTTATCGTTAGATAAATCTGTTGATTTACTATCTACTGGTACTCATATAACGCCCCGAGAATTAAAACCTTACCCAAAAGCCATGCCAAGAAAATCAAAAGTAGGTCGGAAGAAAAGAGTTTCCGCAATTTTGAAAAAAAATGTGGGAGCAACTAAAAGAAACATATCAGGTGAATTAACAAGTGGGGCAAAGTCTAAATCTAAGAAACAGAGCGCTAAAAAGACCCTTAAAAAATAGATTCTACAAGCTCAGAAGAGGATGAAGAATCGACATGTCTGATATGTTTAACTCCATTTTCACATTCTAGAAATGAAGAGTGGATCCAGTGCATTGTCTGTAAAGGGTGGGCGCATGTAGGTTGTGGCAAAGATATCGATTTTTATGTTTGTATTCACTGCTTGTCCGATAGTGATTAGTTTAACTTTCCTTTACAAGTTTCTTTAGGTTTTTGTTTTTACAAAAGTTTCATTTAATTTTTTTTATTTTACTTTATGTAATGTTCCGAATGTTTTTTGTGTTGCTAAATAAAGGTTCCTTTCATTTATCAAAACTGTTTTTTGAAGTTTTTGAGTTTTTTTTCTTGTATCATCTTACCCCTTATACTGTAACAATTTGCCCTACAGAGGGGCAAGTTGTTATAGTTTACAAAGTTACTTGAACTTATAATTACCAAGTACAAAAAATTAAAAAAATTATAAAATAAAACTGATAATACATGTACAGATATATGTGGTACCTTTCTCCAATTTTAGTTTTCATATAAAAGAACAACTTTTGCCCAAATAAATAACTATATTAATTTTGTAACAACTTGCCCCCTTCTCCCCTACTGTTCAAAGGATTTTAAAAAAATACAAATTTATTCCGTATAAGTACCGACCAGTTCAAACGCTTTTGGCAGGGGATCCAGAGAGAAGACTTGTTTTTTGCCATTGGTATCTTAGCTTCTGTCGCCAAAATGTAAATAACTTTCGTTACCTTTTATGGACAGATGGATCAAATTTTTCAAGTTCTGGAATGTTTAATAGAAAAAACCACCATTATTGGTCAAGAGAAAATCTTTTGTTAGTACATCCAAGAAGCCCACAAGTCCGTTTCAGTTTCAACGTTTGGTGCGGTATAATTGGTTCAAAAATTGTTGGCCCGTTCTTTTATGAGGGAACCCCAACTGGTGAAAGATATGTGGAATCTATGTCAGAAATTCTGACTAATTTCTTAGACGAATTGGATCTTATAAGTAGACATCATCTGCATTTTCAGCAAGATGGCGCACCTGCCCACAACTCCAGAGGTACTTATCATTTTCTAAGTACTACTTTTAATGATCAGTGGATAGGAACAAATGGCCCAATACAGTGGCCTCCCAGATCACCAGATCTAAACCCACTTGATTACTTCTTGTGGGGTTACTTAAAGAACCAAATTTACAAGCGAAGGTACGATAACCTTGACGCGTTAAAGACTGCAGTTAGGGAAAAGATAACCCAGATAGATGGTAGGACCATACTTAAGACAGTTCGAGCAGTTGAAAAACGTGCCCAAAAATGTATTGAAGAACAAGGTGGTGTTTTCGAGCATCTTCTTTAAAAAACATTGTTATTGTATTTTGTAAGATTATAAGTTGATGTTGAAAATAAAGTTTGTCGATACAATTTAATTGTTTCAGATTGGAGGCCATAACTTCAACAATTTGTAACCTAGGAGAAAAGTTATTGTAAGCTTTTTTGTTTAAAATTTGATGCTTTAACAGAAAAAAATATAATATACAGGGGTTTCCGTTTAAAAAAATGTTATTTTACTGAAAAAAATCAAAATAACGACTCTCAATTGTTTTTTTATTTCTCATTTTTACCAGCGTTAAAAATGCTACTAGTTTGCTAATTCAAACAACTTTGTATTTTCACTAATAACAAAGTTACTAATGGTGGACACTTAATTTGGATAACCCTGTATAACGTCAGAAAAAACCGATATTATGTCAGTTTCCTAGACCCCTGCAGAGCTGCTATCCAGTTGTTTTTGGTTTGAGAGCCATACGCTCCCAAACTGCTCCACAAACAATGCATTAGAATACGAGCCCCTTCCCACTTCAGTTGGCCCAACTATTGAAATCTTAGTTTTTTTCTTATCAAACACAAATAATAAAAACGTAGCAGGGTGTTATAGTTTTAAAATATTAACAATCAATATTTTGATAATAGATAGTAGAAAACACCAACTTTAACACTCCCTAATCAAATTTGCAGCATAAAAATAACACATGTTGCAATTACAGCATATCAACCTATTTTGATTTCAATGCAAAATAAGTCTATAACGTATAGCTGGCTGTGAAAAATAAAAAACAATTCGTCTTATTAATCACAGCTGTCAGAATACGTATAAAATAGTTTTGGGTGGTTAAGGTTTTCAAAATTATTAATATTATTAATTAAATTTTTTAATTCTGGGAAATCAAACTCAGAAATTGCAGCTTTGTTAGACTTATCGCGGTACAGTCTGAGAAATATTGTTAGAAGATATAACGTAACTGCTTCAGTTAATACTAAGCCACGATATGGGGAAAAAAGTAATATCACACATGCCGAACGAAGAGCATTAAGAAGAATAATCGTGAAAAACAGGCGTGCCGATTATTTACAATTAAGTGCTCTGTCGAGTGACGCTGTTGGAAGGAGAATTTTGAGGTCCACAACTCATAGAGAGGCCCACAAACTGAGATTTTGCAAGGTAAGTTTTCTTATAAAAAAAAGTGAAGTAAAAACCCTAAAGTTGCACAACTTGTTTATAGGCCAAAGAGAAGCCACTATTAACTCCACTGCAAAAGAAAAATCGGCTTAGATGGGCTAAAGAACATAGACAATAGACACCTCAACAATGGTGTGCAATACAATGGAGTGATAAGGCCCGATTCGAAGTTTGTGTTGGTGACAGTCGCAGTAGAGTTATTCGCAAAAAAATGAAGCATTCCATGTTGACTGTCTGAAGAGAAAAGTGAAACTCCCAGCATCTATTATGGTCTGGGGCAGTATGTCATCAAAAGGAGTAGGAAAACTTCATTTTATTGATGGAAACGTGGATATAAACAAATATTTGGCAATTTTAGAAGAATCGCTTTTACCAGTGATGGAAGAATGTTTGACATCCGGCCAAGATTTTGTGTTTCAGCCAGATGGTGCAGTGTGCCATACCTCAAAAAAGGCTATAAAATGGATGGAAGAAAATAATGTACCACTTTTGAAATGGGTTTCTAGCAGTCCAGATCTGTCACCTATTGAAACTTTGTGGCACGAGATGAAAAAGGTTCTACGACAACATCCTGCTCGTACAATCACCGAACTGAGACAAAAGCTTCAAGAAATGTGGGATTGTTTTACACCAAATTTTTGCCAAGACTTGGTTAACATTACGCCCCAAATAATTTCAGCCGTAATAAAAAATAAAGGTGATGTTACCCAATGGTAATCTTTCAATTGTTGCTTTGTGAACTTCGCGCATTTATTCGCACATTGTTTATTTGTTCAGATGTTCTATTAGTTATAGGTCTAAGTGATTTCAAATATGTATTTTTTACAACTAGAGTGTATCTAAAATGTTTTTGAGAAAATAAATTGTTTTAGAAGTAAATAGTTTCGTCATGTTTAGTTTATAAAGGCATATTTTGGTGCTAATCTTGAAGTGGTCCAACTGAAGTGGGAAGGGGCTCGTACAACGTCCAGTGGAACAGTATTGGTGCTGAGCACTACTGAGTTACTCCGAGTTACTCATAGTAACTCAACAGGGTCACTGGAAGGCATCTGGTAATACGTTGCAGGCAAGATATAGTCGAAATATAGCTGATACATCTGAGATACACGGCCGTCACAAGTATTTTCCATTTAGATGCTCCATTAAAGTGCATAATAATATTTTGGAGAAACCATTTCATAAAATCTACATACTGGATACCATTTTATTTTCTACAGTGTGGAAATTAAGACGGGGTACTTACAGTGAACAACAGTTACACCTAAAAGAAGTATGCAAGCTATTGCACTCATGCTTCCACATAGACTGCGTCATAGGCGAAACAACTAATATGCAATAGCTGTATGAAAGTTATATGTAATTACGGAAGAAGCACTTTATTTTTTTGTGGATTTAATAATACCTTCATTAATATTCTTTAAGTAGAT